TGTTGATCAGCTGACACATCACTGCTGATCAGCTGACACTCCACTGTTGATCAGCTGACACACCACTGTTGATCAGCTGACACTCCACTGTTGATCAGCTGACACTCCACTGTTGATCAGCTGACTCTCCACTGTTGATGAGCTGACATATCACTGTTGATCAGCAGACACTCCACTGTTGATCAGCTGACACATCACTGTTGATCAGCATACACTCCACTGTTGATCAGCTGACACTCCACTGTTGATCAGCTGACACATCACTGTTGACCAGCAGACACTCCACTGTTGATCAGCATACACTCCACTGTTGATCAGCTGACACATCACTGTTGATCAGCTGACACTCCACTGTTGATCAGCTGACACTCCACTGTTGATCAGCATACACTCCACTGTTGATCAGCTGACACATCACTGTTGATCAGCATACACTCCACTGTTGATCAACAGACACTCCACTGATGATCAACAGACACTCCACTGTTGATCAACTGACACTCCACTGTTGATCAGCATACACTCCACTGTTGATCAACAGACACTCCACTGCTGATCAACAGACACTCCACTGTCGATCAACAGACAATCCACTGTCTGATCAACAGACACTCCACTGTTGATCAACAGACACTCCACTGCTGATGCAACAGACACTCCACTGTTGATCACGACACTCCACTGCTGATCTAACAACACTTGCACTGTCGATTTCAACAGACAATCACTACTGTTCGATCAACAGACACTCCACTGTTGATCAACAGACACATCCATGTTGATCACACACTCCACTGTTGATATCAATCAGGGACACCCTCCACTGTTGATCAACAGACACTCCACTGAATAATGTAAACAGATCTACTTTCATGGATTTTCTTCAAGAGCTGAACCAAATATTGACTCCATTATATGATCACTACTTATATTAACACGTACTTATATACACGTACTTATATTACACGCGACGTTATCTAACACTACTATATTAACACGTACTATATAAACACGTACTTATATTAAACTACTTATACTATCACGTACTTATATTAACGGTACGTTATATTACATCCGTACTGATATAACACGTACTTTATTAACGCATACGTTATATTAACACTACTTATATTCAGCACGTACATTATATTGATCAAACGTACTTATATTATCACGCCTACATTTATTAATACCGTACTTATATCAACACTACTTATATTAACACGACTACTGTTATAACACGTACCTTATTGAACGCATACTTATTTAACAACGTACTTAATTAACAGTACGATATTACACGTACTTATATGACGCTACATATTTTAACAACATACTGTTGATTAACACGTACTTATATTAACGCGTACTTATATTAACACGTCCACTTAATTAACACTACTGATATTAACACAGTACTTTATTAACGCATACTGTTATTAACACGACTTTGATTAACACTCACTGATATTATCACGTACATTTATTAACCACGACTTATATAAACACGTACTGATATTAAACACGTACTTATATTCACAACTACTATATTAACACGTACACTATATTAACACGACTTATATTAACACGTACTGATATAACACTACTTTATAAACACGTTACTGATATTAACAGTCACTATATTAACACGACTACTTTATAACACATACTTATATAACACTACTTATATTAACACGTACCGATATTAACACGTACTTATCAAAATTAACACGTACTGTATCATTAACACTCTCTGATGATAACATCACTATTAACAACGTACTTTATGATTAACACTACATTTTATCACACACTGTTTAACAGTACTTATATTAACCACGTTGATATTAGACACTACTTTATAACACGTCACTTTAATCACGACTATATTTATCACGTACTGATATTAACACGTACTTTATATTTTAACACATAATTTACTCTTATATTAACACGTACTTATATTAACACGTACTTATATTAACACGTACTTATATTAACACGTACTTATATTAACACGTACTTATATTAACACGTACTTATATTAACACGTACTGATATTAACACGTACTGATATTAACACTACTTATATTAACACGTACTTATTATTAACACGTACTTATATTAACACGTACTGATATTAACACGTACTTATATTAACACGTACTTATATTAACACGATACATTATATTAACACGTACTTATATTAACACGTACTTATATTAACACGTACTTATATTAACACGTACTGATATTAACACGTACTTATATTAACACGTACTGATATTAACACGTACTTATATTAACACGTACTTATATTAACACGTACTGATATTAACACGTACTTATATTAACACGTACTTATATTAACACGTACTTATATTAACACGTACTGATATTAACACGTACTTATATTAACACGTACTTATATTAACACGTACTTATATTAACACGTACTTATATTATCACGTACTGATATTAACACGTACTTATATTAACACGTACTGATATTAACACGTACTGATATTAACACGTACTTATATTAACACGTACTGATATTAACACGTACTTATATTAACACGTACTTATATTAACACGTACTGATATTAACACGTACTGATATTAACACGTACTGATATTAACACGTACTTATATTAACAACGTACTTATATAACACGTACTTATATTAACACGTACTTATATTAACACGTACTTATATTAACACGTACTGATATTAACACGTACTTATATTAACACGTACTGATATTAACACGTACTTATATTAACACGTACTTATATTAACACGTACTTATATTAACACGTACTGATATTTAACACGTACTGATATTAACACGTACTATAATTAACACGTACTTATATTAACTCGTACTTATATTAACACGTACTGATATTAACACATACTGATATTAACACGTACTTATATTAACACGTACTTATATTAACACGTACTTATATTAACACGTACTTATATTAACACGTACTGATATTAACACGTACTTATATTAACACGTACTTATATTAAACACGTACTTATATTAACACGTACTTATATTAACACGTACTTATATTAACACGTACTTATATTAACACGTACTTATATTAACACGTACTTATATTAACACGTACTTATATTAACACGTACTATATTAACACGTACTTATATTAACACGTATCTTATATTAACACGTACTTATATTAGCACGTACTTATATTAACACGTACTTATATTAACACGTACTTATATTACACGTACTTATATTAACACGTACTTATATTAACACGTACTGATATTAACACGTACTTATATTAACACGTACTTATATTAACACGTACTTATATTAACACGTACTGATATTAACACGTACTTATATAACACGTACTTATATTAACACGTACTTATATTAACACGTACTGTATATTAACACGTACTTATATTAAACACGTACTTATATTAACACGTACTATATTAACACGTACTTATATTAACACGTACTGATATTAACACGTACTTATATTAACACGTACTATATTAACACGTACTTATATTAACACGTACTTATATTAACACGTACTGATATTAAACACGTACTTATATTAACACGTACTTATATTAACACGTACTTATATTAACACGTACTTATATTAACACGTACTGATATTAACACGTATTTCTTATATTAAACCGTAACATTAAAAATTTAATTGAAACACGTACTATATTACACGTACTTTATATTAACACGTACTTGATATTAACACGTATTATATTAACCCGTACTATATGTAACAGCCTCTTATATATATACTGTTACTTATATTAAACGTACTTATATAAACCGTCGGTACTTATATTAACACGTACTTATATTAGAATCACGTACTTATTATTAACATGTATTATAATTAACAGTATTATATTAACACGTACTTAGTATCTTTAAAACGTTTAGATACACAGTACTCAAAATTATATACAGAAACAGTATTGTTAATAAATGATTGATATCATCGTTCTTATATTAATCACTTCTGCTTATTATACTTGAAGTAGGCTAACGACTGAAAAGCCTACTGTGGTAGAGCTGAAAAACTGTTACGTAATAAAGATACCTAACTGTTGTCATATGATTTTACACAATCCCCCTTATGTATGCTGGGAGGCAGTTGAACAGTCTTGGGCCCCGGACACTTATTGTGTTGTCTCTCAGTGCACTCCTGGTGCCCCAGCTTTTCTCTGGGACAATGTTACATCTCCTGCCGAGTCTTTTACTCTCGTAGAAAGTATTTTTCGTGTGCAAATTTGGCCCTATTCCCTCTAGGATTTTCCAACTGTATATTATCATGTACATTTCTCGCCTGCGTTCCAGGGAGTACAGATCAACCGGTTCCAGTAATTTAGGCACGTCATCGTAAGTGTAATTGTAATTGTAATTAAGTATCTGGAAGAGTAATTGATATATCATGTTGTCATATCATGGCTCCTCGTCACCTCTCCCTTAACACCAATTATCATTAAACTTTGATAAGTTTCGTCTTAACAATAATTATTAAACGTTGACTTAATGAAAATTTTCATTCTTACGTAATTATCGATTTATAAGCTTGTCGGCTTTACGACATATTTTAAAAAGAATTTTTTATCTGGAGAATGAGTGAAGTCAATAATGTACATTCTGCCTTAATTTTTTATCGGTCGGTTACTTAAAAAAAAAATCCACATTGTCGATTTTTAATTGTTCCTCTTCTGTAATTACAAAAATACACATTATTTTAGGTTAAAACACATGTACCAATAAAAACTCATAATTAACATCAAAAAGCTAATTAAAATCAACAATAATATACGTGTATCGCTCCTGATGTAATGCTGGGTTATGCTCAGAGTACGAAGTGTTATAGTGCTAAATTATGTTAGAAAGTACTGTTAGTTACAGGTTTTATAACCCAGTGATGTAAGAGTTAATAGAAAGATGTTGCAGGTGCCAGTGTGTGGAGGTACGACAGCTGCAAGGACACGGGTTATGGCTATGGTGAGGGAAATGGGGCTGGCGCCCGTGGATATGGGAGGACTGAAAAATGCTCGCACCCTCGAGGACATCCCATTGTCCTTTTTCCCCGAGTGGAAAGTAGCGGCTATTATAACAGGAATTGTCTTCATGTTTTTCTGGATCCTCACGCTCTTCAAGTAAGTCATAAGTGGTGATGCAGTGGAGGGAAGAGCTTGGGTAGAGTGTGTAAGTTCTGGGCTCTCATCCTATTGTTGTTTGTAAGATTTCTTATACAGAAAATAAATTATGTTATCCCACGAAACGGGTGGTGTTTGAAGCCATTGCAAACTAGTCAGCATTCTACTGTGTTAACCACTGTACCACGTCGGCCTAACAACCATCCTAGTTTGCATAGAAATATACCTAATTGACCGAGTTTTAATAAGATTTAATAACTTTTACAACTGACTCGCAATAAGTTTGTATCCCGCTCATTCTCTGAATTGTTTACAATTAAGTCATTATGATTTCACGAGTAATTTTGTCATAACTCGTGTGTATGTATATACATATATATATATATATATATATATATATATATATATATATATATATATATATATATATATATATATATATATATATTATATGTCGTGCCGAATAGGTAAAACTTGCTATTTTGGCCTAAATAGCAACGCTCATCTTGCCATATAAGACAAGCGAAAATTTGTATTTACCTGGAGAGAGTTCCGGAGGTCAACACCTCCGCGGCCCGGTCAGTGACCTGGCCTCATGGTGGATCAGGGCCTGATCAACCAAGCTGTTACTGCTGGCTGCACGCAATCCAACGTACGAACCACAGCCCGGCTGGTCAGGTACCGACTTCAGGTGCTTGCCCAGTGCCAGCTTGGAGGCAGTCAAGGGTCTACTGGTAATCTCCCTTATGTATGATGGGAGGCAGTTGAACAGTCTCAGGCCCCTGACACTTATTGTATTGTCTCTTAACGTGCTAGTGACACCCCTGCTTTTCATTGGGGGGATGTTGCATCGTCTGCCGAGTCTTTTGTATCAGAACACTATTCTTAGGCTTGCCAGGTGCCCATATACTGCAGCAGTTATCTGGTTGCTGTGCGGTTTTCTGTGCCCTTCCCCGATTTTCTTGACTTTTCATTTGGTGGGGGTAAATTCCAGGAGCCACTTGCTGGACCAGGCTTGCAGCCTGTCCAGGTCCCTTTGTAGACCTGTCTGATCCTCATCCAATTTAATTTTACACGCTGTACAGTATCGTGAATAACTCCTTACTTAGATGTCGAAACGCTGCTCTCAGATTTCTCAGGCGCCTGTATGCTGCAACAGCTATTTGGTTGATGTGTGCCTCTGGAGATGTGCTCGGTATAATGCTCACCCCAAGATCCTTTTCTTTAATTGGGTTTTGTAGCCTCTGGCCTCTTAGGCTGTACTCTGCGATCTTCTTTGTCCTTCCCCAAGCTTCATAACTTTGCATTTGCTGCGGTTAAACTCCAGAAGCCATTTTTCAGACCAAGTATTCAGCCTGTCCAGATCCCCTTGTAGACTTACCTGATACACGTCCGATTGTATTCTCCTCTTCAGCTTCACATCGTAAGCAAACAGGGACATATTCATACATACAAGAAACATCACCGGACCTAGGACTGACTCTTGTGGAACCCCACTCGATACATGCGCCCACTCTGACACTTCTTCTTGGTCCGACACATGTTGTTTCCTTCCTGTCGGGTATTCCCTGATCCATTGCAGTACTTTCCCTTCTATTCCTGTCTGTTTCTCTAGTTTTTCAACCGGTCTCGTGTGTGGTACTGCTTTCTTACAGTCCAAGAAGAGGCAGTCTACCCATTCCTCTCTCTCTCCATTACCTTGCCATAGAACTCCAATAGGTTCGTGATACAGGATTTTCCTTTCCTGAAGCCGTACTGGTGTGTTACTCCATTCCTTTCTAGACGCTCTCCCACTCTTTTCCTGATATCTTCTCCATAACTTTACATACAATACATGTCATCGACACTTGTATGTAATTTAGCGCAGCCTGTCTCCTTTCTTATAAATTGAAACTACATTTGCTGGTTTCCACACCTGAGGTAGGTGCCCTGATACAGTAGATTTATTGAAGATGGTTGTTAATGGTAGACACAGAGCATCTGCTCCGTTTCTCAGGACCCAAAGAGAGAGATTATCTAGGCGCATCGCTCTTCAGGAATCTAGTTCCCTTAGCAGTTTTTCATCTCATCCTCGATTGTGTGCATTGTGCCCAGCACTTGCTGGTGGACAATGCCACCTCCTTTACCTGGGAGCCTTTCTGTCTCCACTGTAAATACCTCCATGAGTCGAGCTCTTCACATAGGAAGGAAAGAGCTCCCCTCTTTCCTTCCTCAACCTAATTGCCTGATCATTGACTCATTGACTGTTGTTTTCCTCCTGATGTGGCTGTATCAGAACGTTGGGTCAGATTTGACTTTTAATGTAATGTCATTCTCGTATTGACGCTGGGCTTCTTTCCTTAACCATGCATATTTATTTATGGCACTTTGACTCAACTCCCTGTTTTCCTGGATGTGCGTGTGTGTGTGAGAGAGATTGGGTGTACTCACCTAGTTGTGGTTGCAGGGGTCGAGTCCCAGTGTGTGTGTGTGTACTCACCTAATTGTGGTTGCAGGGGTCGAGAGGCAGCTCCTGGCCCCGCCTCTTCACTGATCGCTACTAGGTCCTCTCTCTCTCTGCTTCAAGAGCTTTGTCATACCTCGTCTTAAAGCTATGTATGGTTCCTGCCTCCACTACATTACTTGTTAGGCTATTCCACTTCCTGACGACTCTATGAAGAAATACTTCCTAACATCCCTGTGACTCGTCTGAGTCTTCAGCTTCCAATTGTGACCCCTTGTTTCTGTGTCCCCTCTCTGGAACAACCTGTCTCCGTCTACCTTATCTATTCCACGCAGTATTTTGTATATCGTTATCATGTCTCCCCTGACCCGCCTAGCCTCCAATGTCGTCAGTTCGATCTCCCTCAACCTTTCTTCGTAGGACATACCCCTGAGCTCCGGAACTAGCCTTGTTGCAAACTTACTCTAATTTCTTGACGAGTTTGACCAGGTGTGGGTTCCAAACTGGAGCTGTGTACTCCAGTATGGGCCTGATGTACACAGTGTACAGTGTCTTGAACGATTCCTTACTAAAGTATCGGAACGCTATTCTCAGGTTTGCCAGGCGCCTGTATGCTGCGGCACTCATCTTGTTGATGTGTGCTTCCGGAGACATGCTCGGTGTTATGGTCACCCCAAGATCTTTCTCCCTGAGCGAGGTTTGCAGTCCTTGGTCACCTAGTCTATACTCTTTCTGAAGTCTTCTTTGCCCTTCTCCGATCTTCATGACTTTGCACTTGGTAGGGTTGAATTCGAGAAGCCAGTTGCTGGACCACGTGTCCAGCTTGTCCAGGTCTCTTGGAAGTCCTGCCTGGTCATCATCTGATTTTATTCTCTTCATTAACTTCACATCATCTGCGAACAGGGACACCCCTGAGTATCATTCACATATACCAGAAATAGCACTGGTCTTAGGACCGACCCCTGTGGGATCCCGCTCGTCACAGGTGCCCACTGTGACGAGCTGGGTCATACCATGACTCGCTGTTGCCTCCCTGTCAGGTATTCCCTGATCCATTGCATTGCCCTTCCTGTTATACGCGCCTGATCCTCTAGTTTCTGCACTAGTCTCTTGTGAGGAACTGTATCGAAGGCCTTCTTGCAGTCCAAGAAAATGCAGTCAACCCACCCCTCTCTCGTGTCGCACTTCTGTAGCTTTGTCATAGAACTCCAGAAGGTTTGTGACACAGGATTTGCCTTCCATGAATCTGTGCTGGTTATCTTGTTCCGTTCCAGGTGCTCCACCACTCTCCTCCTGATAATCTTCTCTATGTGTGTGTGTGTGTGCATGTGTGTGTGCATGTGTGTGTGCGTGTGAGTGTGTGCTTGATAATGCTCTGTAATAATTAGATGAGTTTCTGGAAATCTTCTAGCTCAGTCCTTTATTTTTATGATGATTTTGGTGTCTTGCAACGCCATAAGGTGTGAATGTTTATTAACAACGGAGGCGTTGTTGATGTTGTGCGTCTTCTAGTGACTCCATGTAAATGTTGCCAAGGTCAACACTAACTGTTGACCCCATGGGATTGGAGTTGTTCTGTTGATGAGATAAAAAACCGAAATTAATGCAAAGTTTGCGAGGTTAACCACAGCTTGGTAAGGTAGAGGAGGTTCCATGAGTGGTTTTATCCAGCTTTATAGTAGATTAATAGCTTGATCTATCTACGTAGAAGTGAGAGAAAGACGGGGAGGTAGAAGGGTGGAGGGAGGAGCCCGAAAGGTGGAAACGTTGAGAGAAAATGTTAGAGTGAAAGGAAAAGTCTGAATAGATGGCAGCTGGAGGAAAGACTAGAGGGATAGGTAAGTTTATTCAGGTATAGGTACACATAAATACAGTTACATATATTGTCATACATATTGTCATGTAGATTACCTAGGATAACCCAAAAAAGTCAGTCAGCGTAAGTCAACTATATGAAATGCAGTTACAATACAAGGAGGCATAGTAGGAATAAGGTAAACTAAGTTATTTAGATTAACATTAAAGAGAGAATCAGAAATCATTCTCCTCCCTTTCTATAGCTTCATTCATTAGGTACCCTTTAGCCCTCTTTTTGAAATGGTTCATGCTATGACTGGCTTTCACATATGCAGACATTCCGTTCCGCTATTTTATTGCTGTATAATACTGTGGGTACTACAAACTTGTGCTCCATTCCCGTAGTACAATACGTGTTTTGGTTCCCAGTCTTGACAAAACTGGCAACAAGATATTCTGGACACTGCTTCTGAACAATTTAAAACTTGATTTAACTTCAGTTGTTATACTTTGTCTTCAACATTCAACATATCCAGTTGTTGTAATTCATCCTGGCCTACATGTTCTCTGAATCTAAACTGGAGTCTTCTGGCAGGGCTGCATCTGCTCTTGTTGCCACCTCCCTGGTTAAGAACGATAATAAACTTGTTGAACTAGGCAGAAGAACTGGACGTCTATCCTGCAAACTGAATTGTTTGCAATCCTAATGGCGCTAAAGCTAACTTATGACACTGAGCTTGACTGTTATCATTACCGATTCTACGTCATCATTGAAGGCTCT